GTGTGTGTGTGTGTGTGTGTGTGTGTGTGTGTGTGAGTGCGTGCTTGTGCATTTAGGTGTGTGAGCTCTTTGGTGCTTTTTTTAAGGTTTTGTCTTGTTTTGTTTCGCTTTTTGGTTTGTTTTTCGTTTGTTTTTGGGGTGGGTGGGGAGAGAGTTGGGTACTACTGGTTTGCTTACTTTAATTTCTTCTGTGATTGTGTTGCAGTTTAAAAGTCTGCCCATGAGTATATATCTGTCTGCGGATCAGTGTTCCATTTCTGTAGCCACATACTATCATCTGTTAGGCCCAATATTGCTTTTTTATAGCTGAATGAGCCTCACGCAAACACATAATGAAGTACAAGTAATTGCATTGTCTCAATATAATTTTACAGCAATTGTGTGTGCATTCTATTACAGAAAAAGACTTCATTGTCTTTTATATAGCTGTGTTTATTTCTGATTTTGCTGGCCGTATACTTTTTGTGCCTTTCTTAAATTCTTAGTACCCTTTAACTTTGCGGCAACATCTATATATTTATGTCCGTTTACAATTTAATAAATAAAAAAGGTTTGATATCAAACAGCCTTGTTAACTAAAGAGGGAACGAATTATGTAGGTCCAGATAACTTGGCCAAGGCATATACGTACTTTCCTAGGCGGCGTAATTCCGGTTAAATATGGTGAAACCAATTGACTTAATTTGCACCCAAATGAAGGACAACTTGAAAAATGTACCGCACCTACTTGACTTTAGTGAGACTGGTGTTTTTCTCTTCGTTTTGGCGCCCGTAATGCGCACCCTTCAGCGAAGTTTTGTTATAAAGAGCAAAGAACTGTGGCGAAGACATTGCACAGTCTGTGATATAACATAATTCAAGTCTACGGCCCAAGCTCTTCGTAATTGCATAATGACAGCCTTCATTACCTTTTCAAATTGAATACTTTTTATCTACCTCTCCATCGACACGGCTTAGACCAGTTAGGAGGCGGGCTACATCGACGGAGGTTTCCCAAGACTGTTAGGACATTGCGTCCCTGAGGAAAGACGGGTATACCTAAAAAAAAAAAAATGTCTTCCCAGCGGGGTAGCGAACTTACATCTTTTGTGTGCAAGGAAGGGAGCAAAAAATCCTAGCTATTCGTCCGCAGACGCTGGTTAAGCCTTCTCTGTCACCGCCAATAAGGTTCTCACTTCAGCTAGCTCTACAAGCACAATGTACAGCCAATTACACTACAAAAACCACCACAAGTATTCTCACAGAACCCAAGCCGTGCCTGTCTTTCAGCCTCCTCGCCACCGGCTCCTTATCTCCTCAGCTTTTGCTTTCAGCGTCTCTCAGCGCGCTTGTCATTAGCTCTTTGGCTTCTCGAGCACTGAACTACAAGAAGGCAAATTAAGTGGTAACATGGACAAAACATGGCTCAAAGGGCGCGGTCTTTTCCCTTAAAGTACGTAATTGGTTCCCCGCCCCGTCTGGAGGATAGTTTATCCGTAAGTCGTGGCTCTGTAAGGAAGACAAACCTTTATTCGTTAGTATCAGAGAAGGGGCAAAAGTTTATCTGTACATTTAGTATTTAAAAAGTGAATAATGTTTATATGTAGGTTCAAAATCTCAAAAGGACAGTCACAGTTTGTTTATAAGTCTAGAGTCTGAAAGGAGGAGTTGCACATGATTTAAGTTTTCCTTTTTGCAAAGACAGCTTTATTTAGACTGACCATATTCCAAATGTTTATCGAATGCTTCTGAAATAAGAACTGAAATCTTTAAAAGTTCGATAATCTACCCACTGCAAACTGTCATCTGTATCTCACCGAAGCAGAAAAACAGGAAAACAAGATTTACAACTCACAGACAACCTTTGTGACAGCCTGCATTTATTTCCCTTCAAGTGTGTCAGTTGATGGAAGAATGGTTGTGGGTTTTTCTTCATTATTGTTTAATTTTTTATACATTTTGTTGATGCATATAGATCTATATATTGTTGGCTCTCTTTTTTAATCAAGTCAAGTTGTCAAAACTTTAGATGTCATCATATCGATTCATCGCTTTCTAAGTGGCTTGCATCATTGGAATCACACGATCACACGCTAAACTATCTAAAGAGCTTGTTCTTGGGTGCTGGAGATCCTTTACATAGGCTCAAGTTGTTCTTAAACAACGGGCTCTTTTCCTTCTGAAGGCGACTCGAAATGAAACATTCTTTTGAGAACAACCCTCTCTATATTCCTTGTCCGCTCGGTTATACCGAGTAGGAAGCAAAATGGGGAGAGCGGGTGAGAAAGGGATAGAGAGAGAAAGAAGAGAGAAAAGTGAGGGAGCGGGGAATAAAGGTGTGGGGGAGAGGGAGAAAGGTGGGGATGGAGAGAGACAGGGGAGATAGGGAAGTAAAAGAAGGGACAGAGAGAGAGAGAGAGAAAGAGAGAGAAAGAGA